TATATATATATATATGTGGTATGAAAGATATGAGTGGTATAAATCCAAAAAAATAAAGTTTAGGTGTGTTAGAAATGTAAATACGTAGGAATTTGGTGTTATGTTTGCAAATATAAATTTTAATCCCTTATAAGCACCTCTACTCACATATATAAATATTGTAATGATTAGTCACGCATGCTTGCTTGAAGGGCCAGAAAAGCTCCTGCATGCTTGCTTGAGGGGCCAAAATGATGAAGATACAACCTAACTTCGATTTTGATTTGGATTGAAGTTATAATATTAGATATTTTGGAGTCCAAAATGTTAATTTACACACTCCGATCAAATTGATATATTTTAAGTTAGTAGAATTCAAGTTGGTTGGTTGAAGTGGAGGAATGCTTCGGGCCTATTGTGTGATAGAAAGGTAACGCTTAGGCCGAACGAAAAATTTTAAAAGATGGTGCTGAGACCTACAATGTCCTATGGCGCTGAATGTTGGCCTTTAAAAGAGAAGCATAGAACTAAGTTAAGTGTTGCCGAGACTGTTGCCGAGACGAGAATGATTAGCGAGACGAGAATGATTAGGCAGATGAGTGGCTTTTCACATAGAGACAAAATGCGAAATGAATATATGTGTGATAGGATTGGTACAGCTCCAGTGACAGACAAAATTAGAGAGAGTCGTCCTAGATGGTTTGGTTACATTAAATGTCGACCATCTGATAATCCGTTTAGGAGAGTAGATGTTTTAGATTCGACTTATGTTAAGAAAGGCAAAAGTAGACCTATAATGGCTTGGGCATATTTTATAAAAATGATCTTAATTTATTAGAATTAAATGAAAATATGACATTCAATAGGATGCAATGGAGAAAAAGGATTCATGTAGCCGGCCCAGTTTAGTGCGATAAAAGTTTGTTGTTGTTGTTATTGTTGTATATGTTATAATAGGAGATGATTGTGACTCATTCAAACATCTTAATTTATGTTGAGTTGAGATTGTACATAAATTAAAGACTAATGTTTTATTACTACAACAACAACAACAACAACAACAACAACAACAACAAAGCCTTAATCCCACTACGTGGGGTCGGCTACATGAATCCTTTTTCTCCATTGCATCCTATTTAGTGTCATATTTGCATTTAGTTTTATCCATAAGAAAAAAAATTAATATCAAGTTAATATGATTTTAATGAATTAGGAAAAAATAAAATAAGAGAGAGAGAGAGAGAGAGAGAGAGAGAGTGTGTGGTATTATTATTAAGAATGAATGTTTTACTGCATTTTTATTTTTGAGAGGTAGCTTGGAGCTCCACATCTCCCATTGAGATGGATATATTTATTGTTATACTTAATAAGATTAGTTTGATTAAGTTTATGTAGCAAAGCATCTTCTAATTATATTGTAATGCTTTTGTGCCTAAATTAAAACTTGTTCTAATTTACAATTAAAAAGATATTAAACTCGTATTAGTTGGCAGTAATCAATGCAGTCAATTAAGTGATCAGAGAGCTATGACAGGCAACAGCCCATTGGAGTTCTATTTCCACAGCAAATCAGCAAGCAGATAATTATAAGGGCTGTCAGATAATTTTAAAGAGTAATTAGTTGATTTATTATGATTATTTGTGATCAAGTGTGTACAAATATTAATAAAATAAGCATAAATTCATGCCACTCAATAATTTCAGTAGGGAAAATTTATATAAATGCCCCTCAATTCCTTTGTATTTATATATCTGCCACCTAAACTTTCAATTTTTACATGTATATATCATGAACATGAAGAACTGTGTTTCATTTTTTATAAGTTAAAATTGTAATGGTTAAAATAGTGATATTTTTTAGATAATATGAAAGATTTAGGTAGTATAAATATAAAAATAAAAATATGTAAATACATGGAAATTGTGAGGTATATATGTAAATGCCCCTTTTAAGTACTTTAAGTTTTGTTTATTATTATATTACGGGAAAATTAAAAATTAAGCTATTTTGTTTCTTATATAGAGGAGGTTTTAATGGAAAAATATTAAATAAATTAGGAATGAAGAAATTTTAAATATTCCTTGAAAGGTGGCATTTGCATATTTACTTGTTATCATGAAATTTTCAATTTTTTTATTAAAATGTATGGTGTGTTTCGGGCAAGTGTCGGCGTCCGAGACGTGTCCAGCACTACACAACTCTGTGGTTAGAAGTGTTTGTGCATCATAACAAATTGTCTGAAAAAATTATCACGGTTGCTCACCATTTTCGTGTGTTTTCAATTTAATTAATTTTTTAAATTCTAGTTCAATTGAAAAACATGCTAATTATTGTTTTTAAAAAAACATTGCTCATATTCTATGACTTATTATCATCTAGCACACAAGAAAATATTACGTCTATTGTCCGGACGTACAGATAACGACCAGACGACAAATGTCTGCGTGAATTTAACCACGCCGTTGTGTATACGATGTGGTATGATCCACGTCATCCTTTGCATGTCATGTTATCCGGACGTAATATTTTTTTTCTAACCACGACACAAATAAAACGGTTTTTCTATATAAAAATAAAATATTAAATATATTTCATGCAATATTAGTAAGGAATTACAATGTCATGATAGTTTTAACGAAGAACATCAAAATAGTCTTATGAGACAGAACATATAGAATTCACATAAACACCACTACGAAAAAAACCGAGCCCTTAGATGACTTATTAATATAAATCTATAGCCTGTTTTAAAAAGAAAAAAATTGAGACAACTTAAAGATAACATCTTAGTGATGCTTTTGATCTTATAGGCTACAATGTAGATGCTTCAGTTTAGTATTAAGTTTATGTGTACTAATTTGTACTAAAATCCATATAAATTAACAAGTATGCCAATCAAGTTATTTGAAGTACTTTAGTTTAAAGATAAATATAAACTACCTTAGTTCAATAAGTCATAACTCAAAATTAGATTTTTGGGTATGGATGATGAAGTTCATATTTAACATTAAAAGTAGGAATTGCACTTATGCCACATAACTCTCATATATTTGCATATATAATCTTTAAATACTTATGAATTCAAATCTTCTATACATTTTGGTGGCATCATATTAATGTCTAGAAGATGTGATTTTTGTGCTTGAGTGTGTTATACATTAGAATTATGTGGAGTGCGTGTGTGTTTGTACATCCCTCTTACTTTATTTGTATATGTGAGGGCAAGTCAAGTCATGATATGTGCTCACTTTTAAACCATAAAGTGAGTGTATATAGGGGAAATAATGGCAAGTGTGTTAAATATTTCTTTTTTGTATTAAGGCAGATGATTATGCATCTAAGATATTGAGTGAGGAGTTGCATCAACTTGATCTAAGGATAAATTTAATATTTTAAACGTTCTAAGTGAATCATGTTACATTTGTATGTTTATTACAACACACCCTGCTCCACCTTCCTGCCACAACACCACCAAAAGCAACCTCAAGGAAAATCAAGATCGTCCATTTCTAACAGCTCAAATGGCACCGTTGATTCCATAACCAACTTTGCCCACACATCTCTACATATGATACCTATTGTACTAAGGCATTTGATAAAAGTAGAATAATAGAAGTTGATAAAGTTAATCTTAAACATTCTAAGAGAATCATGTCACATTTCTGTGTTTATATCCTTGAAGTTTGCACGATTCCTTAATTATCATAGAGGCCACATGCTTGAAAGTTTATACATACATTCTATAAAACTGTCATGCAAAATAATGTGGAAAGCAAATTCACATATATATTGCTAGATGACAGAGGCCTGCATGATACATAAAAAAACCAAAAAATAAAAAAATCTCCACAGAAAAATAGATATATAAAGGCAAAGCCATCATAGGCAAAGAAACAGAGGGCAAGAGAGACAAAATTGAATGGACCCAAGGGACAAAGACGTAACTGATCCGGCCCTCACACTTAATTAGAGCGGTAGAAACTGTACTGTTTCACAGTTCTTCTCATGCGTCGGTGCAGGTTTACCAACGGTACATAATTAATTAACTTCCTTAATTATATTCTATTACCCACTAATCTTCATCTTTCTGTTAAACTCCAACCTCTTCTTCATCACCTAATCATAGAATTAATCACTAGGGGAGACGATGACTCAGTATTAGTTATGAATATTGAGTTCTATTTCACTTTTAATTACATTAATATTAGAACCTGTTCAGATCGATTTCATCCATATGTGATTGTGTCAAAAATGTTTAAAATGTCATAAAATTGCTGCTGAAACTCCCATTCTCTAAGAGTAAAAAATATATAAAAAACTTATTTTTATTCAATGCGTAGATAAAGATAAGATTGAGATTTTATATGGGAAAAAAAAAATCAAATTTTGACATAAAAGTTTTCCAATCAGCACAGCATTTCAGCAGAGATGGATACAGCTACAAAGTAATATAGAAAGTTGGTATAGTACATGCATGCTTAAGCACAAACATATATATCCAGACAAATTACCAAAATCCAGTACTGAGATTCAAATCAATCTCACCAATCTCAAAGCACCCATCCGCAGAACAAATCGCCGGCCATCACCGGCGTTTCAATCACCACCGATTCCGTAAAATCACCGTACATCTCGAAGCTATCTTCATCTCCATAACCACTTTCTACCTTGAAATCCACCGGGGGTAAGTCAAAGATTCCAGCTTTCTCCGACACGCCGCCGGAGAGCAGATCAAGGGAGCCGTAGCTATCGCAAACTCTTCCGGCGGTGGTCTCCGGAGGAACGCCTGCGAAGAAATCGTCGATGTGAGAATCTCTGCCGGTAAGTTTCTGAACGAGAGCTCGGAAGTCGGCCGCCGTGGTGGTGACTCTCACGGGATTGGAGAAGTGGACCACTTTAACTTCATGCTGGCTCTTAGTCTTCTTCTTCGTCGGCGGCTCGAAGTTTGTTTGCTTTAAGAGACGACTTTGATTAGCTGATCTTGAGGTTGGATCCATGGCGGCAGTCAAAGGTGAGTTGCAGGAGAAGACAGACGTTAAAGGTGGTGTTTTGAATGGAAAGATGTTAGCTTTTTGTAAGATTGGGAAGGAGGAGGAGGAGGAGTTTGGTTTCCAGGAAGGAGAAAGAGAAGGGGAAGAGAAAGGGGGTGATTAACAGCTATGGACTTTTTTATAGAGAATAACCTCAGAAAGAAAAGGGGTTCACAAAGCGATTCGGATCCTATCCAATTATCAACATTGTACGGTGCAATCAGGGTTTAGTTTGAAAATTTTAATTTTTTTCGGAAATTTACATGTAGAACACTCGATTCTTATGCATTTACCTATCTCTCTCTCAACAAAATTGCACCTTCCTTATGTATGGAAATGTCAATTTCAGCATTGAAAAGTGTGCAGAGTTTGCAAAAATGAAAGTTTTGATGTGAGATACATAAATGCATACATAAGAATTGGGTATTTTGAATGTAAATTATCCTTGTTATTTTTGAAAATATATACTTCTACTTAAACTAAATTGAATTATGTTAAATGTTGAGGAAAAATGCAGTTCATGAAAATAGAGCCACACATTAGAATTGATAATTTATCAAAACTTCCTAAATTATTAAATCAATGCATAGACATGTATGTAATTGCATTATTATTATATATGTATGTATGTATGTATGTATGGGGGGTAATTCTTTGCCATTTGCATGGAAGGGGCAAAACTACTGATTGCAGCACTAGGGTTACCAGGAAGATAAAGAAGATTAAGCTCATTATAATGGTGCAAAATAAATATTCATTTATAATGATTCTAATGATTAATTTTAACTAATTAAAAAAGAGTAAATAATGATATAAGTTTGATGAATTTTACTTGACAATAGTTGGCTTAATGGAACCATTGCACAGAGAGTTAAGATAATCTTCAAGAGACATGAACTCTCCAAGGTTATAGTAATAAGATTCTACAACATATTTGACATTTTTGGTTGATGTTTTTGATTTCATTATACATAATTAAACAATTTTTAGGTTTGTGTCCATGCAAAAAATAGCCAGGGCATCATAGATGGGCATTCTTATGATATAATATATAGCCATATTTATTCTTCTTTATAGAATGATTATTAAGGTTATTAAAATTACTTTGTTGCTGTATCAATATTATCATATGAGATTTGAGTTTATAATAAAAATCTATTGTATTATTATTATCATTATTATGTCCATATTTTTTTTATTTTTTTTCTCTAATCTTTATGTAATTAAGTATGCTTAGGTTATTGCAAAAAACCAACTATGATGCAGAGTAATGAAATATATTCTAACACATGTTTACACGAAAAGATCGTTAAAGATTGATAGTAGCAATATTAATAATAAGTGATTTCTAAAAATTACTTCAAAAGTAAATCATTGTATAATTATTGAAAAAAAACATATATGTACATGAAAATGTGCCAACATTAATCTAAAGGACATCTTTAGGGTAAAGACCTGCTTCGTAGAAACGGCCCACCTCAGACGGATAGGAGAAGAATTCTTCCCCAAGGGATCTAGCCGATTGAATCCAATCAGATGAGCCCGCCCACTTCCAAGTAGAGCAGAGGAGGACAGGCCACTCCTGCCCCAAGATACTTGGAGGAGACCATTGACAAATAACCGCCCGACCTCATGCTTGACAGGTCACCTAGCTACGTGGCCTCATGACTGTCTGTTTGTCAACCACTTGGCCCGATAGCCGTCCTACTGTATCCATTGACACGACAAATCAAATTTATGTACGAACTAAGATACCCCCACCATACCTACATATTTTAAGAGTACGATACGTAATTATATATTGACCTATTCCTATAAATAGAAGGTCGATTTGATGAATAAAAGTTACATAATTTTACTAATTGATACTGTGCTCCCCCCGCCCAATGCTCAATTCCTTGGGGTTGTCTCCCGGACATATTCAAGTTCAATAATATAATTAATGAGAAGAGCAAATAAACGAGACGTGATACTCGTTTGTAGGTAAACTTAAAACTTCATAGAATTCTCATGAGAAATATTATTGGAAAAAAAAAAAAAAAAAATCATAGATTATAATTTTCCTTCTTAACACTATTTAGAATATGCTTACCATCAAGAGAACTAATAAAGATAAATCTTACAAAGTTAAATCATGAAATAACTATAGGCTCCCCTCCATATTAGAATGACTCCACCTAGAAATTCGTGACAATCTAAGGATATTGAAAAGGCTATGCATCTTCTGATTGTCAAGTGATTAGAGCCAAAATGAGTGATCCATATGAGATAGATCAAAACAACAAATAAGGGTATCCCTCGATAGCACTTTGAAGCCCCCAATCCCCTGGGGAGTAGGAAAAAAACTAGCTTACTTTGTCCGGATGCAGCTCTGAGTCCAGACAGAGTGCGAAGTTTTTTCTGTGAGTAGAGACGAAGGGATTATCTATGTTAAAAGTTTATAATTTAAATTAAAACAATTTTATTCAATATCAAATAAGATGAAAAAGAAAAAGTGAAACATTTGGGTGGGGTTGAATTGATTTCAAGTCCAAGAAGTTCCAAAGTGGACAACTATAAAAAAATCTATTCAACTTATCTTGGTTCGACCAAATTTTATTCCTAGCTCTCCAAAATAAAAAATTAAAGGTATTTTTTTCTAACTTTTGCACTAAATAAAAAATAAAATAAATTTTGGATATTTTATATACGCTTCTATTTGAAGAGTTATTCAATTCTTGAAGGCTTGTTTGATTTGTTGAAGAAAAATGTAGGGCCAATAATTTACTATATTTCGAATATTTTGAAGTTGTTTGGTTCAACGTAAAATACATGCATCACATTTTATAGTTTGGTTCAAACACAAATGAAATCAAAGTAAAATATGTAGTCGGTAAACAGTAGCGGGAAGGGGCGACTGTGGCAACGATGGCAGTGGCTATGGGTGGTGGCAGTATCAATGAGGTCGAGCAGTAGCTAGTGACTAGAAATATTACACCTAAAATTATATAATTAGAATTCACCTAAATTCAGCAAATCCAAATTTCCTTGAAAATAAATTAGAGATTAAATTACACTACATTTCAAATTCACTCCTAAACAAGAAAAACAGTGCCCAAGTGCTTGTGCAACGGACCTAAAAACAAATCCATCACTGTCTGGAAGATCCAACGGCTCTGAGCCGGTCTGCACAATTTCTTCTCTTGTGTGGCAGTTGCATAGGATATTTCATTTGGCGGGAAAAAGGATAGGAAAGGACAAATGACGTCATCAGTAGAGCCCACAATGACGTCATGCTGATCCAGCTACGATGGACGCTGTGTGAATGGGAAAACTTCGTCGGCACTTGTAATAAATAATTAATATCGAGGCAATAATTAATTAAATAATTAATATAATAAAATAGAGCGCGATCACGTGACCGAGAATGGGGAGTTCGTAGACTCCTAAGACTCTCCAGAATCTGCGTGCTGCTCCGTGGAGGTTGATTACTTGTGGTGCAGCGAGGCCGAGCGAGGCCTTTTTCATTCCGCATGTGTGATTTAAGAAAAATTATTATTATTATTATTATTATTATTATTATTATTATTATTATTATTATTATTATTATTATTATTATTATTATTATTATTATTATCTCTATTCAAACAAGATTTTATTTCTCAAAATAAGGATTTAAGAAATGGTCAATTTTTAGGGTATTTAGGATTTATGTTTGTTTTATTTTTCAATTGATAAATTTAAGAGTGACGAGTAGATCACGCTCGAAGAATAGTGCGTAAATTAATAAAGGAGAGAAATAATAATGAAATGTGAATATTATTGTGTTTATAGGAGAGATGTCATAATCATAATATTATATTTTTGTCCCGTAGAAAATGTTTGTTTACATGTATGAGTCTGTTGTTTGGCCACCTTCTAGCTTGGTAGGCTAAGATTAGTCGACTTCGGGTTGGAGGGGTCAGTTTGGTTGGATAATTGCATCGGTGTGGTATGGTATGGTCGGTTGATCCAGCATGATTGACTATCGCTGAACCCTGTTGTGGAGTCTATGGATTTTCAAGTAGATGGTTGAGATGCTTTGTGGAATTCGGATTTTTCTTTGGATAGACTCTACTGGTGGCAGCGGTGGCGACGACGTGGGAGGGTAAGCTATATTGCGTTGGTTAATTTAAATGCTCTTTCATGTCATTTTTGGCCGGATGGCTCGTGCTTCGATCATTCGGTCTTCTTCTTGTCTCCATGTGGCTCAATCGGTTTTTGCCTTTTTGGGTTGGCTTGTTCTAATTTATCATTAGGCAACACAGAGACAATCATGCAAATATTATCTGATCATTCTTTTAATTAGACCGAGTACTATATATATATATATATATATATAATAATAATCACAAATGATGCAATTGATTAGTTGATTTTATGTTGAAATGATGATTATAAGAACCCAAATTAATGATTATGCAGTCTCCAAATTGAAAATATATTTTTTGTGAAATGCATGCATCATGACTAATTGATATCAAGTCTATATCAGCATCATATCACCTTTGGACGACGGTTTGGGAGACCTCGAGAGCAATTAACATACCCTATTTTCATGGGCGGCTAACTAATAACAATGATATCAATAAAATATATATGATAGGGATAGCCGCGAGTCTCCAAATTATGCCAATTCGTATTAATTTATACATCTAATTTATATGTGCATTATTTGTAGGTGGAGCTAAAAAGCATGTGTGACAATATATGATGCAACGATATTTTATGATCATGAGGCATGCAGTCTCTCAAATGAGAAAAATATAATGTGTGACAACTAGGGCTGTCAAAATGGCTCGTTGTTCGCGAGCAGCTCGTGTTCGGCTCCTTAAGAAGCTCGTGTTCGACTCGTTAATTTTGTTCGATAAGTTAACGAGCCGAACA